GGAAGAAGGGAGACTCTAAGTTTGTGCTCTACACTCTTCAGAGTTCCCCTACAGCCAGGTCTGCTTCTCTGGAAGGCACCTTGGAGGAGGTTGAGGTTGTGGAGGCAAGTGGCTCAGCTGAGTCAGCTCCTCCTCTTGTCCCTCTGCCTGCTGAGGAGGGGGAATATGGCAGGATCCCCACCCGCACCCCAGGAGGCACGGGGGTATTGTAGTGTGGGACCATTTTGAGGTAGCATATGTGGGATCATCTGCCATCTCCCTGCACTGCCGATGCAAAGCCAGCCGGGGCAAGGACGAGAAACACTTCAGCACCACAGGGATGCTGATGCATCTCAAGAGGCACCACCCCCTTGCCCTTGCTCCTCCTCAAGCCTGGCACCAGTGGGAGCGTACCCAAAGGGAAATCCCCCTTTCGCTCCAAAGCCCCCATCCCCCAGAAGCAGAGGCAGGCCACCCTGGAACAGTGGAGAAAGGCGGACAGAAAGGGGGGGGGGTGTTCCAAAGGGGAGAGAGTTCACCCAGAGCTTTGGGAAGATGCTTGCTCTGGATGGCCAGCCCTTCTCCTTAGTTGAGAGGCCAGGATTCAAGTGGCTCATGGCCCCATCATACTGTATGCCCACACACACCACCCTCAGCAGGACAGTGATGCCCTCCCTGTATGAGGCATGCAGGGAGTACTTGAGGGAGGAGCTGTGCAAGGCAGGTCCACAGGTCGCCTTGCACTTCACCTTGGACATCAGGAGCAGCCAAGATGGAGATCATGCCTAACTCTCCCTCACAGGGCACTGATACAACCAGTCAGGCTGTCGGTAGGCTCTCCTTCAAGCAGAGGTGATGGATGAGTCTCATATGGCAACGGAGATCATGGGGGACATTAATCGCATGGCGTAGGGATGGCTCATTGGGCAGGGCAAGCTCACCCACGGGTTCACGGTCACTGACAACAGGGCCAATATGGTCAAGGTGGTCCACGATGCCAACTTTGTTAGCATCTGCTATGTGGTACACAAGTTGCACCTTATAGTCAGGGACATCTTGGAGAGGAACAGGGCTGCCGGTGAGGGCGCCATCACTACCAGCCAGCTCATTTCAAAATGCAGGAAAGTGGCAGGCTACTTCCACTGGAGCATCCAGGGGAGCAAGATGCTATGGGACCAACAAGCAATGCTGAGCATCCAGCAGCACAAAATCATGCAGGACGTGGAAACTCGGTGGAACTCCACATACCTGATGCTCGAAAGGCTGGTGGAGCAACAGAAGGCCATCCATGAGATGGCCTTGCTTGGGGAGATTGGGATCAGTGGCCCCCTTAAGAAAGCTGAGTAGGATATCATCTCCCAGATCTTGGTAGTCCTCAAGCCATTGCACCAAGAGCCTCAGCGCTGACAATGCCCTCCTTAGCTAGGTGATCCCCATAGTGAGGGAGCTTCATAACCAAATGGAGAAGTTCCAGGGGATTGATGTTCCTGGCTAGGGCTAGCCAGTGTCAACACAGTGCAGGCACTGGTGAAGCAGCTGAAGGAGGGCATCAAGAAATGGCTGGATCCAGTACAGTCCACATGCTGGTGTGCCTGTATGACCCGAGGGTGAAGGGGAGCGTCTGCGGCAGGAAAACCCTGCATCACTGGACGGAGATGCTGGTGAACAGAGTCAAGGAGGCAGAAGGGCAGAGGCAAGGGAACATGAAAGATGTGGATCCACTTTCCCATGCCAGCACTCCATCCACCAGCCAGTCTCCTCCACCACAGGTGCTGCCAATGTGGGCTACAGGCATGGCTTCCATGCTGGGGTTCAGAGGCACCAGACCCCAGCATCGGGTAGGTACTGCCAAGGCCTCGGTGGCTTCCTATCTCACCGAGGACGTGGAGCCACTACTCTGCGACCCCTTGCTCTATTAGGCAGGCTGCAGCCACCTGTGGCAGAATCTCACCATGGCTGCCCAGGAATACCTGTCCTGTCCATCGACCAGTGTTCCGAGCGAGAGAATGCTGTGACACCCCACCGCACCTCCTTGGATCCTGATTTGGTAGAGCAGCTGGTGTTCCTGAAGGTGAACCTCCCACTGCTGGGGGGTTCCCCAAGCTCCATGTGCAGACAGAGTGGTGCCACCCTCTTCACTCTGTCCATACCCATTTCCTTTTTTTATTTGGTTTGGTTTCGCAACCATTTAATGCCCTGCTCTCTAAGCTGGAGGTGGCACTCACTGTATCACCAGCCAGCAGGGGAAGAACATCTCGTGCCAGGACAAACTTGAAGATATGAGCAGGGGCTATGGGGAAAGAGGAGGCCCCAGGTCCTAGGCATGACCTAAAACTGCATTCTGCCAGGGTCAGGAGTCCTAGTGGGACTGCCGGTGGCGTGGCAACCCCCAAGAAATGCCAGGGCCACAAGCCTCCCTGGTGAAAGACAGGTAGGAGGCACCTAAAAACCTTCAGCCACCACAAGCATGCACAGTCCTGGCTAGTGAAAGTCCAGACCTGTAAGATCTTTGAGAGGCCTGAGGCTTGCTGGTTGCAGTGGAGTTGTGAGGCTCCAGGTGAGCTTAGCTGCCTGGAACGTCACCTGTGAGGCAGGGGCCACAGTGTAGGAGAGGTACACAACTGCGGAACAGATGTCACCCCTAGACATCAGGGGCCTAAATGGGCAGCCTCCTGCCTGAGTAACATCTGAATCGGTTTTCCATCAAGGCATGGCAGGAAAAAGAGGGGTGGGCAGTTGGCCCAAGATCTAACCAGCACTGGGAAGGCCCCCTGTTACAGGCTACCATCCCTGCTGCATTCATCCCACTCTGCCTTAACACACACAAGGCACACAAGGTCCTTTGGGTCAATCTAATATCTTTTAGTAGACCAACTGACTAGTTGGAGAAATATATCTCAGTAAGCTTTCAGGTTTAAAAACCCTTCATCAGGCTGAGGAAGCATCTGCAGTTGGTGTGTGCTCTTCCTGGATGAAAGGAATAGTAAAGAAGCCAAAGGCTAGGATGTAGGCAAGAAAGCCAGTCAGTGAAAACGTAAATTGAGGCATCAGGGGACGAGAGACAGGCTGGGTCTGGCAGGGGGTGTAGCAGGTAAAAGTAGAGAGGTACCTGGGGAGTCAGATGTCAGGCAGGTTATAGTGCATCATAAATCCAATGTCTACATTGAGTCCATGAGTTTCTGTATCTAGGAGGTTGATAAAGTGAAATTCATAGGCTTATCTGAGAAAAGTGGTTTGTAAATTCAAACAAGCTCTTAGGAGCTATCATCCCTGCTGTTTTCATCTGAATCAGCCAAAAAATGACAAGGTTATAAGTACTTTAGTGATTCCCCATTATAGTCTATGGCCAAATCTCCAAATCGGTGTCAAAATTCTGAAACAGATTCAGCCGAATCGAATTGGGACAGTGATCCGAGACACCAAATTTAATCACTGTCTCCCCAAAACAGCTGACTCCAAACTGGACCACAGCCATTTCACACAGTCCTACAAAGTACACCTAACAAACAGCCCTCAATACAGTTTGTGCAGCCCTATTCTACCTGTTTGATTATCTCAAAGAAACCCAAGCCCCACCATACTCTTTGGCTCAGAGGGCCTGCTGCTTCAAGGTGATAGCATGCATCTAGGCACACATTCTTACTTCTGAAGAGATGATGGTGGTCCTTTCCAAAGGAGTTGGAGCCACACAGCTCCAGCATATGCTTCCATCCATACTGGCAAGGGACTAGCATGCAACAAAGACCTGGAGGCAGAAGTACTGTGAAGACTGTGTGATGCAGTCAACAAACCACTGGACTGGAATGCAGGGTCCTGGTTACTTTCCCTAGATCTGTGACCTTGGGGAATCTCCTCTCTTGTGCTCATTTCCTCTCATCTCCTCCTAGCCTTCACCAAGCCACCCTATTTTATCTTGTCTAAACTAAGTTCTTTGGGACATGGAGCCTTTCTAGCCAAGTGCTGCAACCACCTAAATTGATGGTAGCAACTCATCCTCGTGCTGCCTCTGTCCTCACCCGTTCTTCATTGCAGTTTGACTTAATAAATTCAATCCTCTTTGAAAGCATTATCACACTCTGCCTAGTTCACTTGCCAGCACTAACGTAATTATCTGAAAATCACTATTTAAGCCAGACTTTTGTTTACTAAAGCATAGCATGCAAGAATTCCTGTTTCCACTAATGGAGATTACATACCTACTGTCTACATGCAGTAAAAACATGTCACATCCCAAATAAGAGTTTGATTAACTTACCAGACAGGTTAACTATAGCAATAAAAATGTGCAAAAATGAATTGCTTTACAGAAAGGTAAACTGAAAAGGCAAAACAATGATACTGATTGAATCTTTTACTTGGTACCTATGAGCAACTAATGTTTTTTTTCTATTTCTGACTCTGCATATGGGTGTCATTCCTTGCCCCATTGTATTTAAGTTTAAACATACGGTCAGCAAAAAAACATTGAGAAAAATACCTCAGACAAGTAGATACTGGAATAAAAGGTGTTACTTCTTCTTATAAAGCCAAAAATCCTAATAAAATAACTGCCATGCCGCAGCCACGTAAGTTGAATAAATATTTACCCATGTGCTGGATCCAAAGCTATTGCTCTGGGCTGGTCCAGGTCTTGCCAGAAGAGAACTTTCCTTGATGTACCATTGAGATTAGCTACCTCTATCCTATTGGTTTCTGAGTCTGTCCAGTACAGTTTTCTCCCAATCCAATCACATGCCAGGCCATCTGGGGAAACCAGACCAGAAATAATAACGTTCTGGACCACATTTCCAGTTTGGTTAATGTACGTTTGCTTGATGGCTTCTTCACTCACATCTGTCCAGAAGACAATGCCTTGTGAGTACTGAAAGTCAACTGCAGCAGCATCCTCTAAGCCACTGACTACAATTGTAGACTCCAGCTTTGTTCCTCCAGCATCCACCAGTCTAACATCCCGACGGTTAGCAAAAAGCAGAAGTGGAGAGGCTATGGGGAAACGAAAAAGAAATCATATTACTGCTATTGAACATCTGCAAAATTTCAAACAGCAACTATGAAAGAGGATGGCTTTTCTCTGGGCAGTAGGATGGATGGTTAATGGAAGAAACAGTTAATGTTGCACACCATAGTTAAAACAACCACTATCCACAATCCCATGGATGTACTTCAGCAGATGAGGGCAATGAGTACAAGATGACACTGTTTGGGGGAGAAGCAGCATCTCAATTTTTTTCTATCACAAAGCTGCCCAAAACTGTAGTCTACATTATCTTGTGCCTTTACCCTCCATATAGTGGGCTGAAAAAAGTAAGCATTTCAAAGAAGAGACCTTGCTATGGCCATGTTTATTGTTTTCTACCGTGGTTTGGGCAAAATTACTGTTTTAAACAAACCTTAGCTGTGCTCTTACAAATTCCAAATGTTATTGGCTACATTCCAAACCACAACCATGAACATGATGGGATGCCTACACCTCTGTCAATCATGACAGTTGGGGTTTGGAACATGTCAAGGTTCAGAGTGGTTCAGAACTGAGCTCAATGGAAGCAGCAATACCACAATGACACTGAGCTTAAAATATTCACTGCTAACATATGGAGAGATGAAGATACTATTCATAAAAGCTTGAATCCCTCTGTGTGCGCCCTATAAACGCCCAGGACTGGGAACCACTGTACTAGACAACCTGAGAATCTCCTTCAGCATATCCATGAACCTCACTGATTGTGGTCTAAGCCAGCAGTTGGCAACTTTTTGGAGCCATGGTTTGGAACAACTTAGCTCAGGTCTGTGGTGGGATGGTGTTCCGATCCAGCCACTGCTGCCATGACTTTTCCCTTCCACTGCTTCTCCCCACCCCTGGCTGCAACATGGGCACAGCTCCCAGTTGTTCAGCTGCAGCAAAGCACATTGTGGCCAATGCACTGGCTGAAGCCCCCTGGCTCCTCAGACTAAATTTGGTCTGCAGGCCATATGTTGCCAAACCCTGGTCTATGCCACAGGGTCTCAGATAATCAGAGAGCATCTCATTTCTCCTTTTGACTTTAACACATGGTATGGGTGAGTTTCCCAAGGGGCATCATGCCCTGGCATTCCCCATTTGGAAATGAGGGATAACTACGGACTTCAAATGGCAGTTGTATTACTCAACTTGCTAACGACTGTGAAAGCAACAAAAGATTCAGACTGTTACCGATTCACCTCTTAATTTCCTACAATGTAAAATTCCATCTCTTCTTTCATTCACAGCTTTGAGGGTCCCCCTCAAATCCATCTAAGATACTGCTGCATCAAAGTAACACTTCTCCAGCAAAGGCACAATAACTGTAACTTATTATTTGTATTGCCATAGTTCTAGGAAACCCTGCAAGGGTAGGAACCCACTACAAATAGGACAGAAAAGGTCCCTAAGAAATTTAGCTGTATGCAGGAAAATCTTGTTAATTTGAAACAGAGAACCACAAAATAGCAACTCTGAAATAAAAAGACTTGAAATAAATGCACCCATGGTGATTTGCATATAGGAAAATTACTACAGTATGTATAGACTTGGTTTTGCAGAAGACCATGCAGGCATTAAATGGAATGTTAACAGAAAAATCGTGTTGTATCATCACTGTTTTAAGTTTTATTCTTTTGTAAACTACTCTAAGCTTTAGCATAAGCACTCAATAAACACACTCTTGAAAAATACTTCTATATATGTTTATACATAGTCCAAGCTATATATTAGCTCAAAACCAAAAGATATGCAATTTAGAATGTGCTTCATGAGGCTGCGCCCCAGCAGAGTCAACAGCATTTCAAGTCATGGTGACCACACAGCACAGCCATGGCAGTATGTGTGTGTACTCTAGATACCCCCACAAAGGATCTACATACTAATCAGTCCCCTACTCGCGACTGGAACCGGGTGGTTCTTGTCACAAGTCCTAGGATCCTCCAAAACTGAATATGCAGATGGGGGTAACTGGTGCAGGGCAAGGCTGTATCAATCATATGCAACAGGAAAGGAGAGGGGTGACAAAGCCTCTCATTTATGCAGATGTTTGATGAAGTTTACTGGACATTTAAGGCTAATAAAATTTTTAAAAAGGAATCGTTAGAAATGAGAAAGAAAAGGCACTGCCCACCTGTGGGAGTGAAGAAGCTGAAATACTGTCAATGTAGTGGTTCATCGTGACTTGAAAGAGTCAGTGCTGAGGGGGGATGGAGCACAGTGGAGTCTTTGTCTTACTCAGATGGACCTCACTAACCTATCCTTGTGGTAGGTTCCCACCCATTCTGTGGCAATAGGGAACTGCTTTTAGCCTTTTAGCTAGGAGTAAGACTAGGAGGTACCTAAACTTCAAGACTTCTAGTCATGGGGCTTTCACATAGGATGCCACCCAAAAAGAAAAGGTTCCCATTGACGATAAGTATGGACTGGGGCCTTGTCTCAGGTGCTCTATGGGCATGCTCAGTATGGACTGCATTCAGTTCACTTTGTTGTAGCTGGTTCCCGTAACTGAGCAGCTGCTGCTTCTGGCAGCAGTTTGCTGATAGACAAACTAATGAGATTTCAATGAATTATAAATTATTTCACATTTCAAAGTAGCAAGGTTTTCTTGATACAAGGGAGCAGAAGAGAACTTAAAGTTTCATAGTACTTGTATTTTTTATCTTTTCATCTGGGAATGACAACAGCAGCAAAGTATCCAATACTTTGAACTAGCCAATACTGAACTCCAATACTGAACTAACAGGGCTTTACTGTAGATGAATAGAAAATGCCATACCTTAGAGAGACATTATTCAGAAATACTATGCAAGACTTCTACATAGACTGGACATGAGGTGCTAGAGGGAGGACCCAGCTGAAGATAAGACCAAGCTTATCAGGTAAAATAATGGTGCTATCCACAGAGATCAAGAAAAGAGAAAAAGAGGGAAGCATTAGGAGGCCGTGTAACAAGATTAAGGAGTCTGGTTTAGCCAGGCTGCTCTTCAGATAACAAGACATCCACCAAGAAATGCCAGAGAGAGACAGAGACAGAAGAAAATATGTTTGGTACAGAGAGGTAAGTCCTCTGAGCTGTCGATATAGAGATGGTACTTGGATTTGTGTTTACCTTTAAGAGATAGTAGGAGGGGAGGGAGATATGGTGATGAAGGCCCAAGGCCTGAGAAACCCAGAAAGCTAAAGGAGGGAACAGGGGATGAAGAGAAAAATGCTGCTGGAACAACTGAAAAAGGAAGAGAACCAGGAAGAGACAGTCATGAAATAACAAGATTTCAAAAAACCCCACGCTGCTCAAAACATTACACCTCTTCCAAGAAAGAAAATAACTAGGCCTTTTACAGAATACCATCTTTTCTTAAACTACCAGCTAGTTTGATGGTCATGTAAGCCATACAATTCTTTTCTCCCCGTGTACTGAGCAAGGAGTACTGGCTGTCCATATTGGGGAAATGAAACAGAGATGCCCGTCTTCAGATTTGGTTACTCATATTGGTAGTCCAATATGACAGTGCAAGCATGTGGAGCTGGCCCAACAACATAATTAGCAGTAAATGGGATACTAGTATTTCAGAACTGGCACCAGTTGCTATGAGTGGCAGAGATCTCTATGCTCTACTCAGATTGCCAACACTTCAGTGGATCTCTAACATAATCTAATGAAGAACCATTTTCATCTGCCAAACTATTTGTCACCTTGCACCCTTCCCAGTAATTCCCCAAGTTCAAGCAACAGCTGCTAGAGGTCTATGTTAATCAACTGCTGACTCCCCAACAAGATGTTCACCACTTCAGTTGATGTTTCTGCCTCTTAAATGCACTTGTGCTTGAGATCCAAAAACTTGCCACTCAACTGAAGAAAAACCACGGAGAACACAAGGGCAATGACAGATATGTTATTTCATCTTCTGTGGCTTCAAGCCTGTGATATAAATACCTTCAAGTTTCCAATTCATGTAACTGTATATAATACATGGAAGTTAGCTGTTGATATTGTCTTTCAGATTCAGTTCCTTAGTACCTTAAAAAAAGATGTCAATTTATACTCATTCTGAGTTATAGACTCACTGTGCTGGCATCCTGGATTATGCGTGTTCTTTGTACAGTGCATCCCACTGTACAAGTTAGACCAGACAACACAACACTGTGTGTGTGCACGTTTAAGCAACTCAACTCAATAAGAACATATGACTAATTTTGGCTGAATTGAAAAACAATGTGTCTAGGAACTAAGGATCCTCCCCCACCACCCCATTCTTAATTCTGCATAACCTATTCTAAAAATTCCCCCCGCCCCCAACCTTCCAAGTCAGGAAATAGATGGCTTTATTTCTCTTTTTGAAGCAATTCTATAATGCTGAAAGTAATAAGGAAAATTTAAATCAGCTGGTTGTTTGGTGAGCCTCCTAGAAAGCCAACTGTTACTGTGTGTTTCACTAAAAATGCAATGTCTTCATTTACTTCAGTATTTAACTCAAGAACATTTATACAGCTTGCAGAGAATTGTTAGGAAATGAAATCCCAGTAGCATTTCCATGTCATTTTGAAGTCTGCCACACTCCTCCCACTGTCCCCTTTTCCTTTAGAACACTTATAATAATACCAATGAAAGCACCAAAGGGTAATTATTGAAACCAGAAGAAAAAAAAATCTAGAATGTAAAGTGTT